TAATGACAGAGGAGGACACAGGTTGGATCTGAAACATTTCTCGCGCGTTTGCTTGCGATCTTTTGAATGCCGCTAGACGCTCCCTGATCCAGCCCACTTTATCATTCATTGATTTGTATGACGCATCATTGTGGAACGCCCAGTTGCTTGCGTGGCGAGAATATAGATYGTCTCTTGTCTTAACAGCACCTCCCGGGAGTGCTTTGATGACTGTAGACTTGCCCGCTTGTTGCAAAATCGTGTTCTCAGGGGCAACCAGGAGGCCGGACAGGAAGAATGCCCCTGCGGTTGTTAGATTTTTCAGGGGAATTTTCCATTCCTCCTCTCCTCCCCCGCTGGCATTGTCTTTCTTACGTTGGATCGTGATGGTGTTTTGGGCAGGYGTTCCCCTCRCTTTCTCTGCCCAGGATGTGGCGGGGGGGKTGGCTGAACTGGAGGGCRTTCCTGGGTGGCTGTCAAGGGGCAGTACGGTCTTCTTCCCCTGCGGTTGCTCAGCSTGRATGTTATTCCCATGTTCTGGGGGTCCTTCCTGGTCCATCCTCACTACCCTTTCCCTCCCCTTGTCCTCCAATAGCCGATTCTGAGCGAAATGTCTYGCCACCCCCCTGTATAGCAGCATGGAATCCAGTCTCCTATGCGCTCGCTGCTGCTTAGTTTTGGTCATCGTAGCCTACGATGGTAGCGAATCTCCTAATTATTCTCCCTCTAAAACGCCCCCAGACTCCCCCCCAACACTTATGAGGCTTCCCACTTTCGCACCCAAGTCCCCCCGTGAATCGCTTCCTACCCCCTGTCTACCTTTTACAGATGCAATCTCTCGCTCTCTCTCACRCTCTCTCTCTCTCGCTGAGATTGGGGAGGGGTGAACAGGGAGGGGGTGGGGCTCGGGACTGAGGGGACCGTCGGGGGAGGGGGGGCGAGTGGGATGGCACCTGTCCACCTTTTGCAGATGCAAACTGTTTAGGAAGCTTCCCCCTTTCRCACCCAAGTCCCTCCCCTGAYGYAGTCTCTGGCTCTCTCTCACGCTCTCTCTCTCTCGCTGAGATTGGAGGGGGGTGAGCAGGGAGGGGATGGGGATCGGGATTGAGGGAACTGTCGGGGGKTGTCGGGGAAGGGGAGGGAGGGTGTGGGCCAGGCTAGTCGGGGTGGGAGGACGAGGCGCGGCGTGGGGATGGACAGGGTCAGCGTYCCCGGGKATAGGCACYRGAAGGGGGTGGAGGAAGGTGCGTGCAGGTTGGGATAAGCGGAAGCAAGGTGGGCGGGGAAGCAAGTTGGGCGCGGCCAGAGGGGGTGGATGAGATGGGGGGAGACGGAA